CATATGAAGAGATAGTATGGTCAGCACTATGCCCAGCCGCCTTTACTTTCCCTAACGTGAGTTAGGTACCCATCAGAGTTGGGTGGACTCAGGGACGGTCTACTAACTTGAATCCTGATTCGAACTCGAGACTTACGGGTTAGCAGTCCAGCTCTCTACCGCTAGACCACTCCGTAACACGACAACCAAGTCCTAGTCTTAATCTGTATGTCCACATTTTAAAATATGCATATACTTAAGTTCGATCTTTTGTGATCAAAATTATCGGCGACAAGCAGCATTGGAAAAGTACTCACGTAAAGCTGATTAAACTCAGAAAACAAGGTTTGTTTTATTACAACACAGTATTGTTTCCTCTAGCTTCGAGCATGTTCTAAATATTTTCTTTTCATTTCGAAGCTAACGAACGATGCTTCGTAAATATTATGTGATAAATATTTTTAAAACGTTTTTTTTTTTACGCAAACTCAAAACCTTCCAAAAAAAAAATGAAAGCCCAGCGGGTATGGAAAAAAAAATATCGTGTTTTGGAAAAATCTCGTTAACCTACGCAGATTGCTGTGATATCTCCTTACTGGTGTTTCCCGCGCTATTTTTGTCCACGCGAGAGTTCTCGCGCAGTTTCTGCGAGTTTTTGTACTGCTGGAACTGTCGCAGTAGCGTTGGCGCCCGCTAATTAAGATGACACAATTTCACACTAAAGGCCACACTATAAGGGAAAAAATGTAAACAATCTCATTTCGCTCACGTCATCTAATCTCTAAACCCCCCGCGCATGCGCAGTGTGGGTGAAATTGTGTTTGTCATTAGCCGACTGTGGAGCAGAAAAATTGCATCGGTATGCGTGCAGCTTCTGTCACACCGCATGACTCAGCGCGTTGATCGATCAAATCGATATCGATCTAATCAGCGGGGTGACTGGACTAGAATACAATGATGGAGCCGCTGGGATGAATGCACCTCACGACATGGTACTTGAACTGATGTTTATAGACATCATCATTTGTATTGTACACGTACCTGGACTTCGACATCATCATTTGTATAGTACACGTACCTGGACTAATGTTAACCGACATCATCATTTGTATTGTACACGTACCTGGACTAATGTTAACCGACATCATCATTTGTATTGTACACGTACCTGGACTAATGTTAGTCGACATCATCATTTGTATTGTACACGTACCTGGACTAATGTTAATCGACATCATCATTTGTATTGTACACGTACCTGGACTAATGTTAATCGACATCATCATTTGTATTGTACACATACCTGGACTTCGACATCATCATTTGTATTGTACACGTACCTGGACTAATGTTAATCGACATCATCATTTGTATTGTACACATACCTGGACTTCGACATCATCATTTGTATTGTACACGTACCTGGACTAATGTTAATCGACATCATCATTTGTATTGTACACATACCTGGACTTCGACATCATCATTTGTATTGTACACATACCTGGACTTCGACATCATCATTTGTATTGTACACGTACCTGGACTAATGTTAATCGACATCATCATTTGTATTGTACACGTACCTGGACTAATGTTAATCGACAACATCATTTGTATTGTACACGTACCTGGACTTCGACATCATCATTTGTATTGTACACGTACCTGGACTAATGTTAGTCGACATCATCATTTGTATTGTACACGTACCTGGACTAATGTTAATCGACATCATCATTTGTATTGTACACGTACCTGGACTAATGTTAATCGACATCATCATTTGTATTGTACACATACCTGGACTTCGACATCATCATTTGTATTGTACACGTACCTGGACTAATGTTAATCGACATCATCATTTGTATTGTACACGTACCTGGACTAATGTTAATCGACATCATCATTTGTATTGTTCATGTACCTGATTTGCACCAGCGGAGATGGGGAATTATTTAAAAAATTTTTTTTTACAATCCATAGATTATTACATAAAATTTCATTTCGGAATTATGCTCAATTAACTCGTACATTTGCATTCATCATCATCACTTTTCATCTTTCGTGCCCAAGACACATGGTCGGATGAAGTTAATCTGTTTAAATGACCTCGGTTAGCACTACAAAAGTTTAAAAAAAAAACAACCCAGAAAGTTGGGGAAACTGTTCTCAACATCCGTGTCACATGACCGCCGTACCTGCAGGTAATGACTTCCTGGGCTGTTCCACGTGACTGCAGACGTATAAAGATCACACGTGAGACAGGTGTTTAAAATTTGCGAAAAACTTTTTTTTACACACCGTAACACTTAAAACCTATATGCGAGTGACCTGAGAAGTCTAGAAGTATGGGAGTAAAATCCACCAGCCAGAGAACAAATACCGTTGGTCACACTCCACTGGTCACATGAACCACGCCCGTATGATGTCGTCATCACGTGCGTAACACGGGAGTGGGGTGGGGCACCAGGTGAGACATTGTGGCCAGAAAACAGACAACCGTTTCTGGTGGGCGAACGAAGAGATCTGAAACACAATTTTTGTCCTTATTCGGTAATGTTGTAGTCTCGTCTCTCAGCAGACCACACGCCCGTAGCAAGGGTGCGACGGTGGGATTTTTCTTAGCCTCGAGTTCTAGATGTTCATCCCTCACACATTCAAGTGAGGGGACGCACACAGTTTTCAACGGAAGAGGGCGGACACTGGTTATAGTATATAATCTCCTGTATGAATTATATTTCTTATGTCTTCTTGTCCTTCCGTCAGGTAGGGGTATCATATCTCCCCCCCCCCCCTCGAAGAGATATCTAAAAGAAATTCTGCTTTCAACCATTTCATCGTCATTGAGCTGTCCGCCATATTGCTTGCAGTCTCAGACAGCTCGTGGACCGCCATATTGGTGTCTCTGTCTTGTCTTTCCCATGTGTTCGCATTTATGGCTAAAAAATATATCTAATTATTATTTTTTTAGAGCATTTAAAAGTGTTAATTCAAAGGTTTTTATAACATGCTTCTCATATCCCCACCACCGAGGACTAAAAAAATGTACGATACATCCGATCAACAAACTGATACAAAGATTCCCTTAAAAAATGTACTATACATCCGATCAACAAACTGATACAGAGATTCCCTTAAAAAATGTACGATACATCCGATCAACAAACTGATACAGAGATTCCCTTAAAAAATGTACGATACATCCGATCGACAAACTGATACAGAGATTCCCTTAAAAATGTACGATACATCCGATCAACAAACTGATACAAAGATTCCCTTAAAAAATGTACTATACATCCGATCAACAAACTGATACAGAGATTCCCTTAAAAAATGTACGATACATCCGATCGACAAACTGATACAGAGATTTCCTTAAAAAATGTACTGAGACAAGAGATTCCTTTTAAAAATGTACTGAGACAGAGATTCCCTTAGAAAAACTGTGTAAAGCCATGGGCTAAATGTTCGCAAACAATGAAATATGCGACAAGTTCAACTGACAGGTCTAGTAATGGCTGCAGAGTTTCTTGCAAGCATTTCTTCTGGGGGGGGGGGGGGGGGGGGGGGTAGGGCGTTCCCGGACTATGTTTCCATCATTGATGTACTCCTACGCAGAATGTGAAAGAGATTTGATCCTCTGCTTATCTACACCCCCCCCCCCCCCCCCACTCCCCCACTCACACACCCAGGGACAATCGAACGATGTAACATATAAAGTAATTAATACTAATAATACTAAAGAATAATAATAAACGTACAAAACATAAATATTAATACGTCTTCATATAATTGTGCACCAATAGAAGAAAATGATTAGCCTACCAAATTAAAAAGCGTTGGTCGAAAGAGATTCCAGCTAATAGCGATTCAAGGGAAATAAGATATTTTAATTCCGCTTGGTAAACAACGTAGGTTATGTCCCATTATATCACTTAACGCAAAGCTTAAGCTTTAATTATAAATTACGAGCCGACCCGCGGCATATCATACGCCGCTATTTAATTGTTTTATTTTCACTTTTCAGTAATTCATAATTTGTGAATTCGACAGTACCAATGCTGCCACTGAAAATATTTGCTTTAAAACACTATCAGTAGGTCGTTAAGAACGATACTACCCCTACCCTCCTTTCCCCCAACCCCAACCCTACCCCCCCCCTGTGAAAGCAGCCTCCACTTAGTTACCTCCCCTAAGTTTAAAATCGTTTCAAATTAAATTATCTTCCCCTAATAGTGGTCACTAGACCCGGCTCTACGATTGTAAACATTTAGCGTGAACCACAGCTCACCAGACCATGTAGGGGTGGGGTGGTAGGGAGCGCGCTTACAGCCTGTTTCCTAGCGTCTCCCAGAAGAGAATTATATATATAGATAAATCTTTGTTTAGCTATGGAATGGCTAATTTAGGATATAGGCCCCTAATTGAATTTAAAATAATAGGACCTATTAGCTTAACTGGTTTCTTACTTTGCAGTACATTATAGGACTAATTAGTCTATATTGGTTAGCCAGTGTCCGCATAACTAAGATGGTTGTGTAATGGCTACCATGCTGGTTGTACGGGTTCGAGACACATCACGACAATGTTAATTTTCTTTTTCGATTTTTTTAAAACGTGAATGACGAAGTTGCCTATCGGGACCTCGCGGGACACAGTCAGGCGAAGTAGAGTTCACATGTTTCTTTGTCCTCAGCATATGAAGGGATAGTGTGGTCAGAGACATGCTCGGCCGGAATAGTTTTTTTAAAAGATAAAAACATGTCTGAAACTTGGCGGGACACTGGGCAGGTGAAGTAGAGTTGATTAGGTCACCTGTGACGTCAGTATATTAAGGGATCGTGTGGTCAGACCCATGCTTAGCCGAATTCGGTTTTTTAAAGATAAAAAAAACGTCTTTTTGAATGTGGGGGTCTGGTATTTTGTGATAAGTGACAGACGTGATGTCATTTGTGGCAAAAAAGAAAAAGAACGATAATCCAGTAAGGCAATCATATAAATAAATATAGGCCTAATGTTAAAAAAAGTTTACAAAAGTAGACTAAAGGGATGTCACTCTAATTTTTATTTTCGACATGGCGACTATGTGTGGTAAGTTTGTTTCAAGGCATTAAAATAATTTGAAATAAATATAGATCTAGGCCTAGGCCTATACTTTTGTGAATTTTTATATTTAAGGATAACGACTTCACACATAGCCGGGTCTGCTATCTGTGACTAGAGTCTAGATCTACTAGATCTAATCTAGATCTAGTTGTGATTAGGGGTATAGAACACAGAACTGAGAAGCAGAAGGGTTAAGAAAAAGTAAAAGTGACCACTCACTCACTACTACTTAACTACTACTACACTACTACTGTGCTGTCTACTACTACTACTGTCACTACGGTGACTACTGACTACTACTTTAAAAAACTACGTTTACTTTAGTACTTTAACACACTTTTTGTTTGTCTTTTGTGACATTTTTGTCTTTTCAAGGACTGTGTACTGAGTACTGTAACACTTTACTGTAGTAAAGTAATAATAAAGTAATATTAAAATAATGACTCAATGAGTAATCAGAGTAATCGTAATGTCACTCTTGAACATTGAGGATGATTATATAATATATATTAGTTTTTCTCACTAAATCTAGAATTTACGCAATTATCAATTTAAACATGACCACTGAATAATAGACATCCATATTTAATCCATTAGGCACTAACTTTGGAGTTTTTAGTTCGTTTTGAACTAAATTAGTTAATTTAATATTTGTTGTCAATCACTACCATGTCCAACACATCTCTCCATGACAACTCTTCTTAAGCTTGAAGCTAAAGAAAACCACAAATCAGGTTAGACTCCATGCACAAGAGTTCCTCACTAGTGATCACCAAATAGCGGTCACGTGGTTTTTAAAAAATAAAAATAAATTGGTTGTGATACGGACGCCGGTCTTATAAAAAAACAGCTCACAATATTTGATTTCTTTTTTCATAGACTGATAAAACTAATAATGCTTTACGTTCTCGCTCATTTCTGTACCTACACTGTTGATATTTTTTAAATTCTATTAATTTTAATGAAACCAACTTTTGAATTTAGCCTCCGTTCTCCAAACCAAATTTTAAAATGCTTTTCTGGCATATCTAACCCTGCCACTTATGGTTTGTTGTTATGACACGGAAATCCCGCCATTTTGCGCGTGGTAAACATTTTTAAATGTAATTAGTTGAAGGTCTCTGGAATTTGGCCAAAAAATCACCGGAAATCAGACGTCCGGTCCGGGCGCCATATTGTTGTTAGCAACCGACCACGCATCCAAGTTAGAGAGAAATACTAATATATATATAGGCCTACATACCAGTGCCCGATAATGGAATCTTCATTTAAAAAGGGTGTTGACTCATTGAGTTGTTAGTAGTATTGTAATCTCGACTAATTTTATGGCTTTATGGTTATAAATTAGGGTTAGGCGTATGGTAGGACCAGGGTTGGGGTTAGGGTTAGGGACTGGGTTAGCATTGACATTAGCCAGCCATGTGTGTATTTAGTTAACTACCAGTACTTTAACACCCCTTTTTTAAAGAAGATTCCATTATTGGACACCGGTGCAGAGGCGTAGCTAGGGGAGGGCGGGGAGGGCGGCCGCCCCGGGCGCCGACCCTAGGGGGGCGCCAAAAGGGGTAGAAAAAAATAATTAAAAACTCATTTCAAGCTGCAGATTTGAGTTATAAACAGTCAAAGTAAAGAAATTTAACGGCTGAGAGCCTTTGCATACTAATTTAACTGTTTTCTACCTTGATTGTGTAACTGTAAAACTATATCTTTAAGAAACAATGACCGGAAAAACTGCTTTCCAGCTTTCCTAGATGGGGGGGGGGCGCTTTTTCGAAGACTAAAGTCGGAAAAATTCACACCGGATTAAAGAATAAATAACCGATATCACTCAGAAAAGAAACCCATTGAACTAAAGCGTATTTTACGATTGTGTAACATAAAAAAGAGTTAGTGACGTTTTAAATCCGCTCTACCATTTTTGTCCAAGATGGTGGGGCTCTTTTTCACTAACAAAAATCGCAGGATTTGAACTGGATCGGTGACTAGATAACTCTTTTAACACTTAGAAAAGAAATCAATTGTATTAACACTTAATGTACGATTTCACTACCCAGTGTTGCTAAATAATAACGCGACTACTTCTTTGTACGATTCTTACGATAATCGTTCGTGAATCAAATGAGTCGGGTGTGTGTCTTGACCTCCGCGGAAGCCCTGAGACTGAATTACCGAACCTCTCGGGTTCGATGGAGCCCACTGTTCTAAGCTCTTTTAATTTTCTACTGTTTATTCGTTTCGGCATCTTAACTTAAAGGGGAATTTAATTGGCGTCCAGTGAAGTTTTAGTGAACGACAATCAGCGTAATTGTTAATTTTTTCCAGACTGTCGCACACACAAACACACACGCATATATGTATATATATATATATATATATATATATATATATATATATATATATATATATATATAAAAATGGGGGGCGCCAAACTGAAAGTTCGCCCCGGGCGCCGGGAGGGGTCGCTACGCCTCTGCACCGGTGTAAACATTCTCCCCTCAGTTTACTGTTACATACTGTCATTACTTACTGTTTGGACATTTATTGTATGTAGTAGTATGTATGTATGTTACAAACAACAGTGAATGAACAAAGTTACAATTTTACCACTTTCACTTTCAACAATTACAAGTTTAAGTTACAAGCCTTCATCAGTATGTATGTACTGTTGTACTGTACAAGTGTTACTAGATCTAGATTTTTTAGATTCTAGTTATAGTAGTAAGTAGATCTAGATCTATATCTAACTTGTTAGCTTACTCACTTTACGTTACTTTGCTTAATTGAAAATACTGATGGCCGATAATAAACTCTTCCAAAACAGGTGTGTTTGACTGTTTGGTTTTGAAATCTCGAGTAGTCACTAGTATTATGGTTAGAAATTAAATTAGGGTTAGGCATATGGTATGGCTAGGGTTAGGGATAGGGTTAGCATTGACATTATCAAGCCATGTGTGTATTTTAGATAACTACCGGTAACCTTAGACCCCCTTTTTAATAAGATTCTATTATCAGACACTGGTAGAAAAAATCCCCCAATGTAATATATATTTAGCATAATGCATAGAGATAGGAGGCTTCCTACTTTTTAACTAATAAATACCTGCTCTCCCTATAAATCTGTAGATGATCACGATGGAGTGCCAGAGTTAGTTTCAGACAGCGATCAGGAGTATGATAAAGAAGACGAAGAAAATGAATGGAACGATGATGACAGTGAGGAAGAAATGAATATGTTGACAGGCAATGTGATTTGCTTATTTTGCCCAGTTGTTGAATCTTCAGTAGATTTACTGCTCGCCCACTGCAACAAACAACACAACTTTAACATCATTGACAACTGCAGGAAGTGGTCTACAGACTGCATTAGCTACATCAAAATGATTAACTACATAAGAAAAATGGTATCTCATCACTTAATTAAAATAATTGGTGCCTATTTATTAGCAGGATGAACATAAATATATTTTATTGGAATCCCTGATGATGATTTTATGTAATAGCATAAGATTTGAGAATAAAGTACCTCTGATACCAGCTCTATGAATAAAAGTTTTTGATAAATCAATCAGCACCTAATGTTTTAAATAAATACATTTGTGGCTAGTTAAAACAGACTTGAGTTTTGTGCAGTGTAATAAGTGAGTTAAAAATTACATTTATAACCATTTCTCAAAGGATAATTGTGAAACATTCTTTTAAAGTAAATAATATTATAGGTTCATTTATAAGTTGCCTATATGACTGTTTGAATATTGAACAGCAACCTAGCAGTGATGATGTTCTAAGATGTCTGTCATCTCACAAACCACCGTGGCTGAGTGATGACTTCATGGCCCCTACAGAACCAACAGATCTCATGCTTCAGATGGGTAAGTGTTTGTTTATTGGCTTTTCTTATTGGTTATGGTTGGGCTTACTTAAGACAGACCAAGCTGGGGTGCTAGATCTCATGCTTCAGATGGGTAAGTCTTAGTTTATTGGCTTTTCTTAATGGTTATGGTCTGGCTTACATAAGACAGACCAAGCATGGGATGCTAGATCTCATACTTCAGATGGGTAAGTGTTAGTTTATTGGCTTTTCTTATTGGTTATGGTCGGGCTTACTTAAGACAGACCAAGCATGAGGTGCTAGATCTCATGCTTCAGATGGGTAAGTGTTAGTTTATTGGCTTTTCTTATTGGTTATGGTTGGGCTTTCTTAAGACAGACCAAGCATGAGGTGCTAGATCTCATGCTTCAGATGGGTAAGTCTTAGTTTATTGGCTTTTCTTATTGGTTATGGTCAGGCTAACTTAAGACAGACCAAGCTGGGGTGCTACCAAAAAGTTGCTGGAAATATTCTCGTATATAATAAAAGATGTGTTAGTATTGCCATGCTTATAAGTTGATATGATTAAATGTTAATTTTTTTGTGACGTGTTATCAAAGATGATTTATTGGAATTACAGATTTTTATAAAATGTCAGTGAATTCAAAATGAGTACAAATTTATAACAACTTTTTAATAGTAAATCGCATTTTTAATTTATATTACATATACTGTGTATGAATTTTCCAAATGTTTTATTTAAGATATTGAATGGGCGATCAGTCATTACACAGGCTCACAGCAAACTTTATCGCAGGGAGATAAGTCTGGAGGAGCTGCTTGTGAAAATCAATTTTCTGACAGTGAAGCCATTCATGCCTTGATAGACAGGGTGAAAAAAGCTGAGGAGCAAAGGGATTTGTTGAGAGCAGAACTGGACAGGGCTCTAGAGGACATTAACAAACTCAGGTAAGTTCAGTGCCTTTAACAAGTAAAAAACAGATATCAACATTTATCCTTCAACTGGATGAAAGAAATACAGACCTTTTGTGTTTTAAAGTTTCTTAATTAAGTTCATTTCTATATTTTCACAACTATTGTGTTGTTTCAGAATTTCAGGTCAAAATTTGTTAACAGAATCCAGTGATAAAGTCAACAGGGTACCAAATGGTATCTCCCTAGAAGAAGAAGATGGCTACTTCGCTTCATACAGCCACCATGATATCCACATGACCATGCTAAAGGTAATTCATGGCACATCATCACGATGTTGATGCACAGTTCTTTATATATAAAAGTCAATAAAAAGATTGAACTTCCATTTGTTCTGTGCCAGGGACAATACCATAAAATATGTTTAATAGTTACATGTGTTTTAATTGTTTTTGATACCTTGCTTGCTCATGTATAAAAATCTTACCACAGGATACAGTAAGGACAGAGAGTTACAGAGATTTCATGTTTAAAAACCCCCATTTGTTTGAGGATAAGCTGGTGCTAGATGTGGGCTGTGGCACTGGAATTTTGTCCATGTTTGCTGTGAAGGCAGGGGCCAAACATGTGGTTGCTGTGGACCAGTCCAACATTATATACCAAGCCATGGACATTGCCAGGTTAGGACATTCTGAATTTTCCTCTAAACTTCTATTGGTGTGGATCAAATAATTTAAAAAAAAAATATACATGTTAGCAGCAAAGTTCAAAACTCAGTATTCTATAGATTGCCTGAATTGAGCTGTACAAAATAATTAGTAGACTGAAGCATACCTTTGTGTTAGCATGCACAACATGCCAACAAGAATACAATGTTAAGTAAAACACAGGTTAAATGATTAAAGTATCAGAAGGAAAGCAATGATACATGTACACATACAGAGTTTTCTTACCTCAACACTAATTCTAAATCTAACTTAAACCAAACATTACCAACCTTACCAATCAGTTAGATTCAGTGCTAGGGTTAAAGTTAGATGTAGGTTCAAGTTGTATTTTGTGTACGTTTTTTTTTAGTTAAAAAACTTTTACAAAGCATATAGTTTGTTTTGTACAAGATTTCTTTACTTTGTACACATTTGACTAAACTTATCTCCATATCCCACACTTAGCCTTGAAGAGATTTTGGCATTCTATTGAATAGCTTAGCTGGACATTCTATAGGATGTAACAATGTAATATTTTAAAATATGTTTTGCTCTTGAAAACATGAAAACACTAGGCATACACTTGGTACAATTTCAAACATTTCCACAAGTTGTTATAAATTAGGTCGATTTAAAAATAGTTCATATGTTTTAAAATATATTTTAGTAAAGAGATACATTATTGATTGCAGGGAAAACAATGTGCATGAAAGTATCACATTTGTGAAAGGCAAACTTGAAGATGTTGACCTTCCTATTAAAAAGGTAATCTTATGTGATTTTGCTATATAATAAGTTACTTCCAATTGAAGATATCACTGCTATCCTATATTGTTTCAAATATTTTGTTGCTGTTCTGACTGATCTCAGAGTTATCCCAGATTTAATTAAAGTAAAACCTCACTTTTGGAAAGTATCCTAACCTAGTAAACTTTGGATTGAAGATTATATTACAGGAAAATCTGCTAAATTCATAGATGCTATAAAAGTGATTCATGTTCTGATTATTTTGATTTGCAACTATTTTCAGTTTGATGTGATTATATCTGAGTGGATGGGCTACTTTTTGCTGTTTGAGGCTATGTTTGATTCTGTTCTATGGGCCAGGGACAGATATCTTAAAGTTGACGGTTGTGGTGAGCCTTTAATTTTTACCTTGATTTTCATTCAACGAACAAATCATTGTTTAACTTTATTTTTTAAAACTAACATTTTTGTTTAACTTTTAAAAATTGGGCAAGGTAAATCAAAGGCTTTTATTTTTATTAGCACTCTCAAACCTTACTATTTTTCCAGTAATTCATCTTTTTCTTAAATCAGTTTTGTAAAAGTTAATGTTCAGCATTGGTTTGAATGTAAAAAAAATGTTTTTAATTCCAGTGTACCCTGATGTATTCTCCATGTTGATTGTTGGTGTGAGCGATAAAGATCTTTACAATTCCAAAATAGCATTCTGGGACGATGTTTATGGTTTTAAAATGTCTTGTATGAAATCTTCCGTTACTGATGAAGTTCATGTTCGACTCGTCAAGGAAGAAACAATGATCACAGAACCTGCAGTCATTAAGGTATACTCTTGAAACCTACTAGCAAAATTTTTGTTGAAAATTAGTTTATTACATTATATACAGCCAGGTGCCATGTTATCAGATAGAAAAGAATGTTTTGAACTGCTTGGTCTCAACATATTTTATGTTACTCTTAAAAGTATCCAAGTAAAGAGTTAACAAAAAGTGGTTGCTTCTTTTAATGACTAATTATTTCAACAGTTTTTAATGTTAATATTCCTGCTGCTGGAAGTTAAATGTATTACATTTTCAATACATTTGGGCAATACCATTTAAATATATTATAGTTAAACAAATTTTTTTTGCCTTACAGAAAATTGATGTAATGAAATGCTCTGTGTCAGACCTCAACTTTAGCTCTGAGTTTAATCTGCATGTCAACTCAGATAGTGAACTTACTGCCCTTGTTGGTTACTTTGACACTCAGTTTGATGCAGGCTGTCACAATAAGGTCTTTCTTGCCTCATCATTTTGGTTGAATCTTAGTTTTAATATGCTCACAGCTAGATATTTTATTTATTTTTATAAGAAATAAGTTAACAATCATTTCCTTCATTATGAAATGGCATGCAAAAAAAAAATAGTACTCTAGTAGACTGTTTTGAAGTTGTTCATAATATATTGAATTATTAAATAAATAAAGAATTCAATTTTTAGATCAGCTTTAGCACAGGTCCACAAGCTACACCTACACATTGGGAACAGGCAGTTATGTTGTTGCCAACTCCAATAGCAGTTAAAAAAGGTGAAAGAAAGATTGATTTTCAAATATTTTTTTCTCATTTATACATCATGTATTCTTCTAATTCCTGCATCCACTGTTTCAGGATCAAGCTTGGAGGGGAAAATTGTGTACAGGAAACACCCCAATGATGACAGAGGAATCGTAATAAATCTATCCATAGGAAAACTTAAGTTGAAGTACACTTTGTCCTGATATTAAAAAACAAAACAATTAAAATTTGGTTGTCACTTTATTTATATAAGAAACTCCAGTTACAGGGGCATGTCCAGTACATAGTACATGGCATAAAAACTGTTAGTCAACCTGCTTGCCAACTACAGGCCAGCACTGGTCATTTTCAGTGAGACACATCAGTAGTTTAAATATCCCTAAATAATGCTAAAGGCTGCTTCTACTGCTGTTTGAAATGAGGACAAAAAAATTGATTTATGACTAGTGTTATCTGTAAGAAAATCTGATGTATTTACAAGTGTAGATATATTATACAAGCACAGATCTCAAACAATCACAGTAAAAGGAATGCAGTTTTCATTTTACTTTAAAGAAAGTGGGGGGAAAAAAGCTGTGTGGTTATCCTAATGTACAACAAAAGTTTCAAGTTAAAAAAAAAGATTACATACAGCAGTAGATTGGTTTCTTCTCTAGAAATTTAGCAGTTTACATTGATAGAGTTTAATGAAAATTAAACATTTGAGTTTGAACATTTCAAGAAACAGAAACAAACATTTTTCTATACCAGTTGAAAACTATTTTACATCAATTTTTAGCTAAAGATTTACTAGAACTATACCCCTATTTCACTCCCATTTTATTATGTTCTAGTTCTGCAGGCAGCAAAAACACTACAGTATAGCCAACACATGCACAAAGTGTAGGTGACACTCACCAGTTTTCTTAGTAGTATGTACAAGAGTACCCGTAAGCTATATATACAACAGAAGCCTTTGGGATATACAGTGCTGCCAAAAACAAGTACTGCAAAATTAGCCCACCTCAAGACATTTTGCTTGAAGAACAATGCAATGTCAATTTGCCAAATTATCCAAACTCTCAGTACTGGAATTCAAAGTGGTTTTTCAAATGAAGTCAGTCACTTAGGATTTCATGGGAGCATGCATTGAAACATTTACGCAGATCTCAAATTTATTTTGCAAACATTTGTTAAGGCTTGTGATACTGCATTCCATGCACAAAAAAAAACTTTTTTAAAAATAACTATAGCCGTAATGATTAACAAAATACTGAATATTACTTCTTAAATTCATAAAACTGTATCAGAAATTTTAATAATGGCAAACACTGAAATTAGTATTGAAGAATAACACTGTTATTATATATAACTTTATATATAGTTATTAAATTATTAAGACTACAAAATACATTTAAATTTTTAAAATAATATTTAGGTATAATATTTTACAAGTATAGAAACACTGGTCTGAATGCAAACTAAATTTCTGTTGTAAAATGCCAATTAATCCAAATGATATTACAAAAAAAAAAGGAATGTGGATTAACTTGATAGTGAATGAACAGTTTACTAGAAACGTTAATTTCTTTATAATTCAGGTTAAAAAGTAAAATAATTTATATATACAAGTACAAGACAGTAAAATTGAACAGAACCAAAAACATCACTGCTTGTTCTTGCTAAATTTTCTAAACCATACTTTTTATTCACTATATGATACATAACATTTAATTTTTCTTTAAACCCCCCCCCCCCCCCCACTTTTTTCCTTATTTATTGCCACCAAAATCTTTAATATTTTATTTTAAAGCATATTCAGCAATTAATGAAAAAAAAAAGACTGATATTAAGAGGATTGTTAGTTCTGAAACTGAATTGATACAAAGGGCTGGGATTAAAACAAAATTATCTTATTTTTCTGATGCAAGAACAAGACAGTGTAAAAGTAAATATGCCGTGGGCTACTTTCTAGGCACATTAAGAGTGGCCATTCTCCTTCAAGAATGGAGGTTTCCAGTACACACATGCATGCCATCTAGGACAGTTCATGTCTGCAGTTGGCCAATCACCATTTACTATAACACATCACATAGCAGTAAAGTATGTATCATTAAGGCATTTCAGCCATAAAACTGGCTACAAATTGACCATACTGGCCTAAAACCTATGTACGACACAAATCTAGGTAAATGAAAACACTACTGAGCCAGTTGACTAAATTTATTATTTACATTTTGTTTCATAGACACCAACCAGGCCAGGGTGTTGGTTAAAATAGGAAATACCCATTTTTTAACAAGAAAGTTACTTTTGTTGACAGATGACAACATGAGTGAAAAAATACTGTCCATTCATGATTAGACATATTGCACGTCACTCTTAAAAAACCATTGAAATAATGCTTAAACAACGAACCAATTCTGGCCAATCAGACACAACACGCCATTTATACCCACAACTTATTTTTCTTGCATAATTCAACTCAAAAGTTAAAAGACCAACTCCATTAAATAAAAATACAATTTTCACTGTCCTTTAAAAAAATGCATCGAGGCGCACTGTTAATGATAAAAGCAATATGTGCACCACACAGCACACAGGAAACAGTTTTAAACAAAAAGCAGATTAAATGATAATTGCAAATTAGGCAAGGAGCTGTTTAATTATTTTTCTTATTATGCAATCGGAATATTGTTCACACTGCACAAGAATTATGTATGATTTAGCAAAAACCTGTCCTTAAATCTGGCTTAATTAAAAACTTAACTTAGTAGAAGTCATCACATTAACATAATTTTTTTTAGCAGGAAACTCATTTGCTTTAAACCAAATTAACATCTTCTCTACCCAGCTATGCTATCAACTTCTTTAAGCCATAGTTAAAATTGTGTACTCAATAAATCTCAACACAATCATCATACTTGAGAAGGTTAGCTAATCCTGGGTAGATGTTAATCCATGCTAATCCAGAGCTTCCGGGGGTAGCTGCACATCAGGGTAAGGCTCTGAAGGTGAAGGCTGAGGAGGGATAACATTGATGGTGCCATCCTGTGCCTGCTGGACCATACCCTGGTCATGGTGGTGCATAGCAGCTTCATCAGCGGCAGCTGCCAGATTAGTGATGGATTTTGACTTGACACACTGGAAATCCACATGTCTGCTTTTGTTTTCTTCTTTCTCCCAAGACATGCGGATGAAGGGTCTCTGCACATAGTTGTAGATGACTGCAAGAAAAATTAGTGGTGACCATTTTACCAACATAAATTTCTTATATTTCATGCATTTTCACATTACTTGATTCTAAATATTCTTTTGCATTTGCAACCAGTGCAGATCTTTACCCACAAAATGTTTGAGCCTATGCCACCACACCCTTCCCCCTAGTTGTGTCATGATCCCAAAACTATGCACAAAGATGTAGATTCTTTCAAATTTTGTCTGCATTTTTCTTTATAAATCCTAAATTTAGGTTTAAACTATAAAATTTATATCCCTGATGCTTAATGTTTATAACACTAAATACTTAAAATTCCTCTAAAAAAATTGAAAGTTTTGCAAACTTTAAATAAAATAGACCTAATAAGAGAAAAAAATAATGCCTCAATAAAATTATAAGAGAAATGTTTAATCCAATATAAACAGATGTTCCTGCCTTAGTACATTTTTTCATTAAACACAACAGGGGTCAGCGTGGTCGAGTCGGTAAAGCTCATGGTTGCTAAACCGAAAAGTCTCGAGTTCGAACCCTCGGGCAGATGAGGCTCGTTAGCTGGGGACAGCCACTCTTCTAGGAGAGACAACTCCAAAATTAAACAACTGCTGCCTTGTAGTTTGTTCTTGGTTGGACAAAGGCTATGGAAGCAAATCCAAAAAGAAAAGCAGGCTGAAATCGGAGTCAATGGCCTCAATGGCGCATAACCAGTTGACACGTAACGCTTAATTGTGTTGGAGGTGTGCTCGAGTCGGCAAAAGCTCATGGTTGATAAATTCGAACAAAGTCTCGAGTTCAAACCCAGATAAATCTCAATCCCCTTCAACACTAATAATTAAGAACGAAGAAGAAGAAAGAAGATTAAACACAACAAAAATGGTGTATTTCTGAAACTGTTGTGAAGAAAAAAATTACCTTCAGCTCTACCACCAGGTCTTTTCTTAACTTTCTCCTTGTAAGTTGGATATCCTTCAATGCCAAGGCGAATTTTCTTCAAACCTCGGTCCCTCAGTACCTGCTTAGCTACATCCCTATTTTCAATATAGCGGAAGAATCTGTACAAACAGGTACTGTTTACAACTGTAGAATAAGAAAAAAACCAGTCCATGTTAGCTCTAGAGATTTTACATCCTTTATTAAAAGCAAAGACATTTTTTTTCTCCCTAAGTGTACCGCAGTAATATTACTAATATTTTGCTAATTCCGTTAGACTAATTATCAAAGTTAATATAGAATCTATTCAATTATCTTATTCTCTAAAATAAGTTCAAAATTACAATCTTGCACAAGCGACAGTTTACCCAAAAAACAAGCCCAAAATTAATCGGAAACTCCTCATAAAATAATAAAAAAATAAACTGCCATAATTTTTTGAGAAAAAAAACATTGTGTCTTGTTGTCAATTATTTAGTAAGCATGAAAAGATGAGTTTTTAGTGAGATACTAATGCAGTAAAACACAATAGGTAATAAGACAGTAATGGTGGCCGCATCATGTCTCTTTAGTAGCAAAAAGATTCTGGAGGACAAAAAAAGGTTTTAGGTTGGCCAAATTTAGACTTTAAATAAACTTACTTTGTGAATATTCCTCTCCCATTTGTGGTGGATAGTCCTCATCCCAGTCAATGATATCATCATCTGTTAGTACAACTATGTGGCATTCTCTATCTCCTCTCTGCTAGGGAGACAAAAACCACTTTTAGAATACATATCTGTTTATTCCAGCATGTTATAAGGAAATACTAACACAAACCTTATGCGTGGCTTATTATAAAAAATCAAACTGTAAAGCATCAACATGTATTCAAAGAATTTGAGGGATAAACAAACCTGGGCACAAAGTACCATCTGAGGCAACAACAAGTCCTCAAGGTATTCTAAAAACTGTTTACGGGCTCCTTCATTGGAGAGTTCATGCAATAAGCCACCTGCAGAGTAGGCAGGAAACAGTTCATGTACACATTACAGGCATTGATGGCTACATGTACACATTACTGGCATTAGAATGATGGCTACATGTACACATTACAGGCATTAGAATGATGGCTACATGTACACATTACAGGCATTAGAATGATGGCTACATGTACACATTACAGGCATTAGAATGATGGCTACATGTACACATTACAGGCATTAGAATGATGGCTACATGTACACATTACAGGCATTAGAATGATGGCTACATGTACACATTACAGGCATTAGAATGATGGCTACATGTACACATTACAGGCATTAGAATGATGGCTACATGTACACATTACTGGCATTAGAATGTACACAAAGCAAACTAATCAACAGAAGAATAATTTTGAAGTACACATCAGAGAAGAAAAATGAGATTGCTATTTGTCTTAACTGGCAAGCTAATCCTGCTAATGTTATCCAAGGCAAACCTACGCAAGTTTTGGCACCGGATTGTTGATGCGTCAAACGGCACAAGTAAGTAGTCACATGCTTCTCTCAGTTCATGAACAGGTACAGAAGGAGGACATCTTACAACTCCTGTTTTATAGTAGTCCTAAGGGGAGAAAACAATTAAGATTTGTTTCTCTTATACAGGCTCCAGGTAATGCTCATTAGTCAGGCAGACTTCAGATGGATGAGGAATCTAACATTTCTCTCATCCACCAGTCAGGCAGACTTCAGATGGATGAGGAATCTAACATTTCTCTCATCCATCGTGCCCGTTTCTGGACCTGTGGGTTCCCTCCAGGCTTTTAGTTAATTGAAATGTAAGTTAAATTCAAATGGTCAAGTTCTTATGAACTCTTATGATTGATACTTTCTATACTATTGTTACCTATGGTACTCAAACTTACCAGTATAGCTCTAAAAACAGAAGCAGATATGCCATCTGCTACTTCAAACTCGCCTCTTTCATTAGGCCTGGTAAAGTTGTTTTCCAAAGAAGATGTAAACATCCTTTAGATAAAAGGAACAATATTAAAACTTTATCAAATGTCAATAAAGGACTTATGAGAACACTAGACAGCCTGATTTAAGCAACTTTAACTGTTTAAGCAATTTTAACTCTAAATCAAAGTGAGTTTTATTACCTGCCCAACATTGTCTCTGGACGCTGGCGAAACAGCTCAGGGTCCACGACAAATCTGGTCTCATCTACTACCAGGGTAAGACGTTCTGATGGGCGTGGGCTACTACAACCAAGTTTTGGAGATGACTGCATCGACATGGCCATGGCACCTTCTGTTTGATAGTCTGACACTATCAAACACAACAAAACAAAGAGCTTTTATTAATATATTAATAGAACAAAAATTCTCAAATTTAATACAAAGCTTCTAATAAGAAACTAAAATTTTTTTTAAAACAGCTGTTGTTATAATAAACAACTTACATTTGTGATGTTGAAGCTGATGTGGAATTTCTAGATTTTGAGGCCGAGACTTTGAATACATGCTAGAACTGGCACGCAGTTCACATGAAGGGCAATCTTCGTTGCTGCTTGTATTATCAAAACTTTGAGACCGAGTACGATTTACAAGACAAGGTTTGGAACGAGTGGGACCAAGAGAGCTAGAAAAAAAATAAATGAAAACAATTAAATTGACTGCTCAAATTAATAAAACGACTTGTTAAGATTAATCATAATGGTAATCAGAAGGTTCCTTATTGTTGTCTTAACAGGAAATCACTTCAGAATGAGTGTTGCCAATCTTACTGACACAAACTTTTGCTTAATTGGACCAGACTTGCTTTAACAATTGAATTTAAGGCAACACTACCTGGTACTCCTTTCACCATGAAGTGATTTGGTAGGAAGACAAGTTTTGCCAATAGTTTTAAAACTGTAATGAAATCAGAGGGTGTTGACAGCATTAACAAGACTGACTTCTCAGCGCCATACAAGAAATTTACTTTTACTTTTTACATTTTAATAAAGATGTATTAATAAGAAACTGCCATCCAATTTTATGTTCCAAATTAAATTTTTTAATGAAGTAGTAATTCAGCAGTATAAAATTTTAAACATTAGTTACATTTTTTAAATACAGAATTAAAATATATTAAGTCATTATTAGTTTTTAATTAAAGACCAAGTTACCTAGATTTCTTTATGCAAGTCTTCTTACGATCATCAGTGTCAGAGATATCAGAATCACTGCTGTGTGAGTCGTATTCTCTGTGATATCTGTCTCGAGGTATGTGGTGTCGCCGATTTGCCATGGGCGTACCATTTAAACGTCGTCAAGCTGACGCTAAAAGGCATTCGACCTTACTGACTATGGGCAAAATAAAGCCTGAATCACAAAAAAGATTTGAAAATTGAAAAAAAAAACCCACAAAAACATAAGAACAGATTGTTATTATTAACTTCAATTCATATAGTTTAGCTTGCAAAGTTGGCCTACATCTATGAGATAACAAAACAAAACGATTTGCGGCCTGAAATAGTTCAGTTAATAAAAAACTGAATGACTCATTTCATGACAGCAAGCAATTAAAAGTGAAATCATTAAGCTAATTAAAAGCTAAATTTATCAATAACCTTAGTAATGAATTTACAAGTATTAGGCTAGACCTATTAGGCTCAATTGATAATATTGTAAGTTGTATTGTAAGCCTCATTAAAGAAAATAATGCTTTTGTAGCTTTTGCAACAGTACTTATTTTAGATGTTTCACCTTCAGCCAACACTGAGTTGATGATACCTTTAAAAGGCTGTCATCTGGCTACAGCAGTTACTTCTTAACGTTTTTGCGTTTTGTTTGTGTTTATTATATTATAAGGAGGTTAAAGCGAAGCAGGGAATAAAATACTCTAAAATGGAGTTACACTCTATTATGAATTATGATTAGCATTAGGCCTATTGACTATTGATTGGGCCTAATAAATTGATTAGCCTATTGATCATTTTTACTGGTATGAAAATCCCCCCCCCCCCCCCCAGATTTAATCTAGTAATCTAGACTTGTTACTAGAGTAAAGTTCCGCGTGTGGTCACACATAGCGAAAAATTCCGAACTCCCGATTTTCATCGGGCGCTATTTTGTAACCGTTTCACACAGAAACAAACCGAAAGTACTTTATTACTCCACTGCCATTCTACTCTAATATGCATGAGTTATTTTGTATTCATACGCATAGTATTTGAGATATTCATGTTTTAGTGACGAACCTCCTTGTGATCAACTTTTCCCCCCTTTTTTTTTGCCTGTGGTCACCTGTCCCTGCTTGTGATCAATAGCGTATTTTTTACGTTTTGATCCAATTTTAATAATTGAAATAAACATTTTACTCATTTAAACGTGTTGATGATTGTATAATTAATTAATAGATTTGCAAAACCAAATAATAACACGTTAATTAAATTTATTAACTAATTAACTACAAATTACGGATGACCCAGTGATGACTCAAGGGACGCAACTATTATAATCATAACAAAGGGACGTAACAATCACTAACAAGACAAAACGTAACATTTGCTTCGATTGGATTGTATGTAGAGACACAAACTAGATTTAGAAGAAGTAGATGATTAAAATAATTTAAAACAACAGAAAAAAATAGAAATTATATAGGTTCTAGACTTAGCTTGAAATATAGAGCATCTAGATCTAGGCTAGTCTAGCTCAAGTCATTGGTGACCACAGCGAGGGTAAAACACAAAAATCGTTACCCCAGCTGTGATCACCCCCATTTCACCACTAAGATTCTTTTAATAGCCTTAACTACAGTATTTTCAGTGTCCCGCACATAAATAGAAGCTATTTACTATTTATAGTTAACCTAGTTATAAAAAGCTTTGATTGGTTGGTTTTATTCATCTCATCCGGGACCTAGTGCTTTTCATACGGGGGAACTAGAATCGCCTACGACGTCATACCTCGAAACTTGAAAATTTAAAAACTCGTCGTTCAGAAGGAGGGAAACAAAAGAATTTGACCTGGATATATTTAGAAATGGACATGTTTACAGCAGATATTAGGAATGTTGGGATATTTTTCCTAATTATCATAGAATGATAAAATGTACACAGATTAATCCTATAATATACCCCATTGATAAAAATAGCAAATTTATCATTCTAGGCCTAATAGTTTTTTTTATATGAATTTTTAAAGTTATGTATTAAACTTGTTATATATCACTGTAACATCGGATTTAATTGTGTGATTGGCTTTAGGCTTGCATACCACTGCTGCTATTTGAGATAAAATTATAAAACTTTTCATATTAGTGCTAGAGAGTGTGGGCAATAGAAATATGAAAGTAAAATCAAAATTTGATGAAGGATAATTAGAACTAATCAGGTCAAATTAAAGTGAGGGGTGCTGTTCTATATAGATCTAGGTCAATATGCAGACTGAAAGTCTATGTTTTTTTTTTAAAATATTAAAATTGAAACTTTGCTAGAGGGTGGGGGTAATAGAAATATAGAAAAAAAATTAGATTAAGTATGACCGCATATAATTAAAAAGTCCTATGAAAGGGTGTTGCACCCTTTTATAGTAATTATAGTGACTGCAACAGACGTATGTCCAGAATGCTACTATAACAGATAGGATAAATTTGGTGATTGATACTGAAGCATGTAATAAGAAGAATGCTGAAAAATAAAACTAGGGATGGTGTGGTAAAGCACTCAACTACTAACATGCAAGTCTTAAGCTCAGATCTCAGACAAGTCTGTCTGTGCAGCGCGCAGCATCCACCTAGCTCAGATGAGTACCTGACACAAGGGAAAGTAAAGATAGCTTGGCAGAGAGCTAACCACACCATCACTTCATGCTCAGTGGTCAAGAAACAGATAAACTCTACTTCAGCTGCTCTATGGATGATGGATTGACAGGTCCAAAAGGGAAACTACTTTAATATACTAGGGTCTTTATCAGGCCCTATTGATATTATTATTTTGGTACAACTAATCAATAGAAAAACCTTAAATTCTTGTAAAAGTTTATTAAATGTTAAGTAAGTTGTACCACATCAGAAGTTACAGCTTCCCTGTCTATCTGCTTATATGAATATATTGGCAATATGCTGTGATTTAAATACGTAATGTTTGTTGTATTTGTTTTTTGTTACTTATTATTAAATGTAAAAATTGTATCCTAAATTATTATGAATAATAATTATCATGCCTTTTTCATGTCATTCTAAATTCACTGCCTTATTAATTAATAGTATCCCCTCCCCCCCCCCCCCACATGTCAATTGCTGCGCCTTTTGTTTATTATTTAGATCTACTATTTACTAATGTCATAGGCATAATTATCACAAATAATTAATCAAGTTTATCACCCAGCTTCTTTACTTATCATAACCAATAATAGGCCCAGACTTACTTTATCAATCGATACATATTACATATAGCATTAGTTATACTAAGAAATAGGCCTATAACTTATTTATTATTTATAAATATAGCCTAGTTCTAGTATAAAGTATAATTTAGTATTAACTTAATTAAGTATAAGCCTTAAATCTAAGTACTAAGTACTTCATACTATGTGTGAAATGCTTGACACTAGTTAATGTAAGCCTAAGCTTCTTGCCTGTCGTTTTTAATAGATAACTTGATCAATGTATTTTATCTAGTTTTAACAGTGCCACCCACAATTTAAATTCTTTCCAACTTCGAAAACTACGTCATTGGCATTAGTGCGCGTATTTTATCGATAATAGGTAATGCGGTGCTAAACGGACGCCATGGCGTTGTCAAGGCCGAAGCGCTAGCTCGGGGATTTGACATGTATGATAACTCGTAAACAGAAGTAGTAAGTGCCATAAAACCGTTATTATAATAATATTTGTTTATTTAATGGACACTTACAACTAATGGCAAGACACTTATAATGTGTTTAATACGTAAACTTATTTAAAATGTGACAGCACCGTACGGGACATGTTCGCGAGATAAACTCATTAGAATCGTGCGATCGATTTCGGCTTTAAGATTGTCATAATGGCGGTAATTTTCTAATTGAAACATATAATACGACTACACTAGAATATCTATATCGAATATTTCTAAAAACTCGATTCCAACAGTGAGATTCGGCATTCTTCGGAAAAGGGCGAGTTTTTATAAAGTCTGCATCAAAAAGTCCGGATGTTGAATACCGAATCGAAACAGCGGAAGTCGGAATGCCTAGCAGATATTGGTAGTTTCGTATAAAACATCCAAACAAATATTATACGAAGCCATAAACATGAATGTGACTACACCGTGGTTTTGACCACACGCGGAACTTTACTCTAGATTTTAGATCAAGATCTAGATCTAGATTCTAGATCAAATTTAGATCTACTAGATTACTGATCCAAATTCTAAATTAGATGAAATACTCTAGATCCAGTCTGGACTTAGATTCTAGTTCACTAAGTGACTTAGGACTTAAACTAGCTGCTAGCTGAACTTGATTTTGAATTTTGATTGAAGAAGTAAGTAAGAAGAGTAGAAAATCAAATTTTTTTAGGCCTAAACCTTTGTGTTAATTTTAATATTAAAATATACTTCCTATAGCCTACATATAGATATAGTATAAAATCTATGACCTTGATAAATAAAAACCAAATGAATCAAATTACTTACGAGATAACATTTCATCGGACAAGTTTGTTTAATGTTGGTGGTCTGCAAACACGCAGAACAAACAAACCACCATATTTTTTTCTTGCAAATTGTTATTATCAAGGGGGGTTATGGGAAGGGCGATCCTTAAATTTAAAAATTCAAACTAAACAAAACAATTTTAAATTTAAAATTAAGAAAAAGAAGAAGAAATTAAGTAAAACCATTATTAATTATTCTTCAGGCTAAAGATCTATTCTATTTATACATTGAAATTAATTTTATGAAATCGTTACAATCAACTGAAACAGCTTTAAAAAACTTTCTTTCACTTGTAAAAATTATAGTAGAGGAAATATTTTAGTACAAGGGGACACTACCTAATTAATTAGGATGAATGGTTGAACTCCTTTCTATTACTTTGACTTGCATTGAATAAAACAAATATGAAAATTTTTAGGCCCATAATAATTTTTTCATAATAATGCACTGAAAACAATAAAATACTTTCCATAGTAGGCCTATATCTCTTACATACATATTTACGCGACCAAAGCTCTTTTATTGTTCAAGTTTGTTTTTTATTTTCTTCAGTGCATTTAAAAACTTCTTATTGTAAATGTAGGCCTATTTATATTAGTCTTATTTTCCACATTTTGGCCATTCGTTTTAAGTGAGATTAACACCATATAGGCTACGACTAAAAAAAAAGTTGCTTTAAACCGGATAAGCTTGTAATCCACAAAAGAAAATGAGCTGCTCCTTACTCAGTTTCTTCCAGACTTTTTTCTCCGGGGGGGGGGGGGGGTCTTGAAATGTTAAAAGTATATATTTTCTATATAAATTCCATTTCGTTCGGGGGGGGGGGGGGGGTCGGAGCCCTCCGAAGAGATGTTTGGAAGAAACTGTCCTTAATCCTCCGTCGACTCTCTAGCAAGAAATCAAGCAGCCGTGACAAACAGTTAACTGTGCTATCTCCCCTTTTATTATTGAGTTTAGATTTTGAATACATTAAAAAAATTGCTTTGTTTATTGTGCACACGTATTAGCTTCTATTGATTGAAAACGTGTTGTCGATACAGAGAGACATCTTATCACGTGATTTTATGAAATTCCTGCAAGTTTAAACACTAAGAGTCATGACACACACACCCTTTTAAACCATTCACCAATGTTCAAAACTACTTAATAGTCATTTTATATTTGAAGTCGATTCGCCCCAGTAGGGTTACAGGTTTATAGATAAAGTGTGTGTGTGTGTGGGGGGGGGTATTCGGGGAGCACATTTAAAGTATAGAGTCTACATAAAGGCTAAACAAATATCAACAAAACAAGCAGGAGTATCTAGAGGCATTTACGGGCCAAATCTGCCACTCTTTAGTCCCTGAACTGTGACCCCCCCCCCCCTCCCCCGCCATCAATAAAGCCTGTCAACAGAATCAGGCAGACTGGTAATGACGTAGCTGCACCCGTGTCTTCGTGTGACCACTGCGATAAACGACCCATCCATCGCGGCTTTACTGGTCACTAGGGGGAAGTGCACCCATTTTTTCCCACAGAATTGCGCTAGGGAGGTGTTCAAATTAAAATTTTAATAGTGTCTGTTTGTGGGGGGAGGGGGGGGGGGTAGAGGAGTTATACTTATTGGCGTAGTGTACACCAGTAGAGTAGGTTTTGGGATATTGGGGGAAAAGGAACACCCTACTCCCTCAGCACCTAAATAATGAAAGCTACTAACCAAATATTCGACTTCAGTAATAAAAAAAAACGTTTTGTTTTGTCGCACTTTGTCACATACAAATAGCGACCAAAAAGTACAAGTGGTACTTATTATAACTATTCCTTTTTGTGATTAGACTAGTTTCAACTTGTTTTTACAGGCCTATCATCTTATTTTTGGTCTTTTTGTAAATTAAATTTATAAACTTTTTGTGTTGTAGTCAGAGGCGTAGCGACCCTTCCCGGCGCCCGGGGACATACTTTCAATTTGGCGCCCCCCTCGGGAGCAAATCAAATTTTCGATTTGCACCCCCCCCTCGAACTTTTCATTTGCACCCCCCCCCCCTCAAACTTTCGATTTGCACCCCCCTCGAACTTTTCATTTGCACCCCCCCCTCAAACTTTCAATTCGGCGCCCCCTAAGGACATATGTCCCCCCCCCCCACGCCCCCCCCCCCTCGCTACGCCTCTGGTTGTAGTAGGCCAACATACACACACGTGTTGCCATAAAATCAATAGAATTTAGAGAATCTGCTTTCAGAAGACGGACAAGTTCATAGACTTAGGATGATCTAAAAACAATCCCCACTTCAGTCTTACATATGTGTGAGTTCTGTTCATAATGGATGCGAACGGTTGCACTTTCAGTCGTCATTTACAAAACAAAACTAAGATTTGCAAGATGCGGAGTAAATGGGAGGGGTGGATCAGCAAACCCCCCTCGTGTGGTCGAATACATTTTTGTCAAGCACAACAAAAATATCTCCAAAAAAAATATATCTGTCTTCTCTGTTACGAAAATATCAGAAACATTTTTCAATTTCTGGAAAACGGTGAGAAGACCAAACAATGCAGAGGTTCGCAAAATACCCGGGGCGTTTGGTTATTACTGAACAAAAGATAGGAACTGGTGACAAGGCAATCAGGTGTAAAATAAATTCAATCGTTTCAAATTTTACCACCTCCAAAATGTACATTTTTCTCCCAAAAAAGATAAACAAACTGCGTTCGATATGAGTAAAACCTTAAAAGTCGCTCCTCATAAAATAATTAACCAGAAATGTGAGCTACCATTATCACCGCTAAATATCAGTACGTTAATTAATTAACAATACATTTTTGACATTTCATTTATTAAAAGCAAATTTCCAGGCTATGGCATGGGACGCTAGGTTAAAAAACAGATCAGATTTTTTAACTAACAACTCTATACGGTAGCAAATCGCTCAAACAAAATAAAGTTGCTGGTGATATCGTGTGGGTTCAAACTATAAGGACGTGTGGTCAGTCCCAGACAACGAGTACATTGGACGTGTGTGCTTTGACGTTGGGGGAGGGGGGGGGGGTGAAAGCCCTCCACTCGCCTTAAGAAACTTTTTGAGAAAAGTATAAAGTCTTAAGGGGCTTGATCCCCACTGGAACAGAAATCAAAAGAGATCAAAACAAAAGGCTTTTTTTTTAAATGGCCGCCGTTGCCTGGAAATATTAGGAAAGATTTTGGGCTAAAATATTTATGAGGCGTAACCGTTTTCTCATATGTCAACATCAGGGCGTCAACAAATTTCATTAGCAGTCAGGTCACTCTGACCCACGGTCGACACAATTTGTCTAGCTACAAGTCCCATCTCACATTTGTATCAATAATTCTGGGGTCTGTTGGTCGTGTTTGGACATAAACTTTTCAACATTTGGTGTTTGGACATAAACTTTTCAACATTTGGTGTTTGGACATAAACTTTTCAACATTTGGTGTTTGGACATCAACTTTTCAACATTTGGTATTTGGACATAAACTTTTCAACATTTGGTGTTTGGACATAAACTTTTCAACATTTGGTGTTTGGACATAAACTTTTCAACATTTGGTGTTTGGACATAAACTTTTCAACATTTGGTGTTTGGACATAAACTTTTCAACATTTGGTGTTTGGACATAAACTTTTCAACATTTGGTGTTTGGACATAAACTTTTTAACATTTGGTGACAAACACATATTTTTTCAATATTGGGTGACAATCATATATTTTTCAACATTTGGTGGCCGACATAAACTTTTCAACATTTGTAATATTTGATAGTGTTTAGTGATGCCTATAAGCGTTTCAACATTAGGAATCTGATGATCGTATTTCTTGAAGGACATTAACTTTATAATTTATAACATTAGAAATCTGATGATCGTATTTCTTGGCGGTCCTAGACTGTTCAACTTTTGATAACGGGCATAAACATTCCAACCATGTCCTTTAAGACTTTATTGCTGTATTTTCTTCTTGCTGTCAAGACAAGCAAAAGTATGTAGACATTAATTTGTAAAAGTATTTTTGTGTATTGTCAAGTAGAATGCGTTTTATATTAATATAATAATAAATAATAAGTGTATGCTGGTACGAGAAGCAAGAGGAACAGATTATAAAAAAAAATATTTTCTTTTCTTTCATGCTTGCGGCAAAGTTTGTCCGATGACAGACTTTTAAAAAAATTATAAAGAAAGTAGATTACAGTAACAAGTTTTAATGTATGTTTTTTTTAAAAATATCTATGCCTAATAATTCACCGTTATTTATATAATCACAAATAAAAGATTCACATTAAGAGGTAGATTTTAACAATACTAAAACATTGTACTTATCGAAAGTATTGGTATGTAAAGATCAAGACGTAAAAACCTTATCCACCTAGTTCTGATAGACCCTACGCCCCTTTCGCCACATATTTCTTCCCCTAGAATGATGTCACACCTTATCACACCCCACTCAACATTGCTAACTTTGTGTTTTAAAAGTGTTAAAAAATAATTAAACATTGCCTATGTCAACATGAATCATACTGATCAATTTCTAGTAAAAGCTAAACCTCAGTAGCTAGCATTACTTTTTAAATGCTAATGTGTGTCGTCCAATTTCCTGAACCCCTCTCCTTATCACATTTCTCTCTGTCCCCCCCCCGTCCTCCCCCCCCCCCAGGAGTGTGACTTCTTATATGAACAACCTCCTAGCCCATTGTTCTCCTGGCATTTGTCATGAATTGGCTCACAACTTTTAAAATAAAAACTTTTGCAATAGAAAGTGACTCAGTTTGTTAGTCTAGAACTATCACCTGGTAGAACAAAATATTAAAAGCTGATAATTTCATTCACACAAGCCGGCATACACGCTCACACCCACGCGCGCACACACACTGGCATCCAGAAACACACACTCACACACATACACACACGCATACACACACATGCCATCATACACGCTCACACCCACACGCTGGCATCCAGAAATACACACATATATACACATACACACACACACACATATATATATATATATATATATATATATATATATATATATATATAACAATATAATACTAATAATAGCATGCTAGTTGAAATAAAAAAA